GCAGACAAGACAGGACGGTCAGACCGCGTAAAGTAAGGGATGGTGACAGAGTTGCGCAAGAGATCCAACTCTTATTGTGGACGAGAGTGGACCGACAACTGGATCTCGTTTTTTCTGCCCTCCGTGCCAGCCATCTCTTCTCATGGCGTGTCGGGAGAGAACACCGAAGGGCCCGGTCCCCCTCTCACACTTGGTCAGACTCAGACACTCGAGTGCTTGCTGACAAAGTCCCTCATCGCGGCCTTGGCTTCCCGAATCTTTTCCACCTGGTCGACTAGCCCTTTTGCCTCTCGCTGAAGACTCGGTGCTTGTCTTCCATCTCTCTCTCCACTTGGTGCTTCGACTTGCAGACTGCCCTCTGCAGGTTCGCGCACACAGACTAACTGGATTGACACTGCAGCGCTGACAGTAGCACTGCACAGAAGTCTCTCTCTCCTGGATTCGGCTGCCCACGTTTCGCCCATCGACCCGGTCAACCAACGCGGACAAGGCCGGATATGCCCCATGCACCCCAAGGTGCTGCGGCGCAATCCTTCACACTCTCCAGCATCCCGGCCGGCTGAGGCAATTCGCTAGCCTGCCTTTTACTGCTTCCTGCACGCCCGTTCGTGAGTGAAATGACCACTTCCTGACATCAAATTCGGCCAGGCTCCTCACGGCTCCATCCAAAAAGGGCCCTGATAAGAGCAACACCTTCGCAGTCCATCAAGTAAAAACGGGAAATGTGGAGTTCCCACGACCATGGGACAGATATGCTAGACACGAATGCACGTCCGCAACAAATGGCCGAGGAGGAAGCGAACTCGGTGTTCAGCCACGACGAGGGCTCAAGTGGTGAAGATACGGCAAACAATGGCTCGGCCGGCGCCCCGAGGAAGCGTAAGAGGGAGAAGCACCAAAAGACATCGTATGTTGTGCGCTTCTGATTGTGTGGCCCCCCAAATGAGATGCATGGCCATCGACTGACGCGAATCCAGTTGCGAACTATGCAAGGCGAGGAAGGTCAAGTGCGATCGTGCAGAGCCCGCATGTTCTTGGTGTGCACGTCACAACCGAACCTGCGTCTACCTCGAAAGGCAGAAGCCGGGTAGCCGTATCGGCTTCAGTCTTGAACTTGAGGCAAAGGTCAACAGGCTCGATGCCCTCTTGCAGGCTCTTGGCCGTCGTGTAGAAGATCACATCGCCCATGACCACGTCGCCACATCACAGGCTCATTCGCCATCCATCAGCAATCAGGCGCCACCTCAAATCGAGGGATTCCGTTCCGATGGAAATGTGAATGGCGTCAGTCCGGCCCCCGGGCTTCCAAGGGGAGCACCAACCACGAATGGGAGAACGCCAGCCTTCTCGAGCCCTTTCTGGCAGGGCGGTGATGCCCAAGAGGCGTTGCAGAATGGAGACCGGACTTCAGTTCAGGCTCTCTTGAACCTATCCGCGGGCGAGTCTTTCAGCCAAGCAGGCGCATCACCCAGCGTCAACGGGCCTCGAAAAGATGCATCCTCTGTTCCGACTGTCTCAGAATTCCCGCCCCACGACATGCTATATACGCTCGTCGACTTATACTTCAAACATTGCAACACGTGGTGTCCAATCTTGGACCGCAAAACGACCTTCGGTGCCTTTTTCGGTTCGACCTCCCTTAACGAAGCCGATCGCGTCTTGTTGCATGCCATAGTAGCAACGACGCTCAGGTTCATGAAAGACCCGCGGTTGTCGCCCGACATGCGGTCACACTACCATGCCGTGTCGAAGCACAGGGTGCAGATATATGCTATGGAAAACGTGAGCATTGCCGCCTTGAGGGCAGTGGTGATACTCTGCCTGGACGAGTTGGGGACTTCGAATGGGCCGCGCGGTTGGAATATGCTTGCGTTGCTCTCGCAGAACGTGAGACAGCTGGAACTCTGCGAAGAGAGCAGCGTGTATCTTACGGCTGAGGCAGGGGAGACGCCGCACACAGGCTCGATCCGAAGAGTGGCGATGGGTCGACCAGAATCGTGGATCGAAGACGAGGGCCGTCGACGGCTTTGCTGGATGGTTTATCTCCTCGATCGATACGCGACAATAGCTACAACGACGTTCGACTTCATGCTTGACGACAAGAAGATGAAGCGCGGTTTGCCATGCTCATACGACCTCTTTTCGAGAAACGTTCCCGTCGAGACGAAGTCATGGAGTCCGTCATCCGATCAAACCGGCAGCCCTACTATCAATAAACCCGAGAACCTCGGCAGTTTCTCGTACCACTGCGAGATCTTGCGCATACTTAGCAAAGTCCACGACTTTCTCAAAACACCCATCGACGTAACATCATCGTCGGAAATGGCCGTTTGGCGGAACACATACAGATCGCTGGATGGAGCGCTCGACAACTGGTTGCAGAGCTTGCCCAGCGAGTATAGCAGGATATCGGCTCTGTGCCACTCAGATCCCGCGAGCCGTGTCGCCAACTGGTTCATGCTGCATAGCGCATACGTCACGTCTGTGGTGCGTCTGCATTCCTCGGCAGCGTACCCGACTGTGAGATCTCACATCTTCGTCCCATCACACTATGCGATGCAGAGATGCTTGTCTGCCGTGCAGAGTCTAGGCGATATTGCGCAAGACGTCTTTGAGGCCAATGGTCTAGATCTCCTGGGACCGCCGTTTGCCTTTTCACTATGGGTCGCCGCGAGGTTACTACTTACTCACGCCGCGACTGTCGGGTGTCCCGTTGATCCCAAGATTGACTTTTTTATCGAAACGCTTCGCCATGTTGGACAGTATTGGGAGGTAGCGAATAACTACGCCAAAATTCTCGCTCGGGTGGTACAGCGAGGGCGTCAGGGCGACATGAGCTTTACCGCCATGAGAAAGTGAGTAGTTCCGTATGCTGCCTTGCCTTGCTTGGACTCTGCTAACAGCAATGCCTTCAGGAGCGCCCACGATCTGGTAACCTTGACATCCTCCACACGGCGCTCCGGCATGGAGCCGACATCGACTCAAGTAACTTCGTTGAGCGAACTGGACAACATTGACGTTTTCGACTTTTTCAATTATCCCAAGATGTCTGAGCCAAGCTCACGGGCGACAAACGGCCAGACGAACTTACTGCAGCCACAAGTGATGAGCGGGTTAGGCGGCGATTCCATGAGGACGACTGGGGTACCAGATCCAGAGTCGGATTGGCTGGGCTTCAGCACTCCCTTCAACTGAGGCCGGAGGCTGAGGCTGAGGCTGAGGCTGAGGCTGCGGTTTGATTTTCCTTGTTTTATTCCCTTGACATATCGGACGTTGTTTCCACTTTTAGAAAGCAAATATCATGGAAGCTGGGCCGGCGCTGGAGGCATTGACGGACTTGGTTGAGGCGGCGTTCGTGGGGCGTTGTACCTCATTGATGGATCTCGTGTGGCTTCGCGATACAGCCGCAAGGAAGCTCGCAGATCGACCCAATTGAAACTGCTTGATCCCCGCACAAGCTGAGGAGCTTCGATCCACTGTGACTGGCTGAGCCACAGGGAACGTCCGTGTGTGCCATGACGTTCGTTGAAACGCTGTTCCTGGTTCCCCCCCCTCCATCACCTTCGACCTCGATTCTTCTCCAGACTTTGACAAAGACATCGATTGTGAGAGACAACTAGACAAGTCTTTTGAAATCTTTTGAGAAAAAACTGAATCAATCATGGCGCCAAACCAAGGTCTCGTGCATCCCACCGAGTACGACATCAAGGACAGCAATGTCGAGCTCATTGGCACGGACATCGACCACCAAGTGAAGTACAACTCCGCCGCTACCGAGCCGGCCTGGAATGAAGGCGAGGTTGGCCAAGCCGCCGGGCTTCATGTGTGGCGTATCGAGGAATTCGAGGTCAAGCCGTGGCCTACGGGGAAGTACGGTCAGTTCATGGATGGTGACAGCTATATCGTCCTCAACTCGTACAAGGTCGGGAGCAAAGACGACGCCGAGAAGCTAGGCCACGACATCTTCTTCTGGCTCGGCGCCCACACGTCGCAGGATGAGGCTGGTACCGCTGCGTACAAGACCGTGGAGCTTGATGAGTTCCTGCATGGAGCCGCAACACAGCATCGCGAGCTGCAGTCGGCGCCGTCTGACGAGTTCCTGGAGCTGTTCCCTCGCATCCAAATTCGCTCTGGTGGTGTGAGATCCGGCTTCCGTCATGTCGAAGACGAGGAGACCAAGGAGGAGATTCTCACTCTGTTGCGCATCTTCAAGAACCCGTCAGTCGGTGCCAACGGCGTTGTTGTGCACGAGGTCGAGCCAACGTGGCAAAGCTTGGACGAGGACGACGTTTTCGTCCTCGACACTGGCGACAAGATCTGGCAGTGGCAGGGCAAGAGCTGCAGTCCGATGGAGAAGGCCAAGGCTGCTCAGGTTGTCAACGACATGACGCTCGCGAAGCATATCGACGTTGAGGTTCTGGCACAAGACGAATCGAGGTCTCGCGTTATCGTCACTCTTCTCGGAGGCAGCGATGATACGCCTCAATCTGGATTCCACTGTCCCAGACCAGTCAGGTCGGCATCCAAGGCACACGCCGGCGAGCGACCTCAGAAGCTCTACCGTCTCAGCGATGCTTCAGGCGAGCTCAGATTCGACCTTGTCAAGGACGGCAGCAAGGCAGCTCTCTCGGACTTTGAAGAGCAGGACGTGTTCCTTTTGGACGATGCGGGCCGGGCCATTTGGGTGTGGGAAGGACAGGGCGCAAGCCGGGGAGAGAAGGCCAACTGGCTCAGAGTTGCACAGGCGTATGTTCGACAATTGCAGGGAGGATCTGAGGCCGAGGAGGCTCATCTTACGCCTGTCGCCAAGGTGACTCAGGGTAACGAGAGCAGGGCATTCTTGAAGGCCGTGGCAGTATAATAGTTTCTGCGGTACATCGAAGAAAAGGAGGGGTTCGTCGGCCTTTGGCTAGCCGCGAGGTTCAGGATGTAGATGCAATCGAAATAAGAGTCTTGTGTTGGTCTTGTACTACCTCGCCGTTTGAGGGAGTCACTATCTCAGGTGTATTCTGGTGATGCCTCTGCAGGTATGTGATTCCGATGATGACCAAGCAGAATCAATCGTCCGCACAAGATGAACGATGACGATGGTTGCATTTGCATCTTGATTAGAAGTGTCGTTAAATTGGATGGGACCCAGGGATGTGTGGCAGCGGAGGACGGAGACTTGCATCCGAGGAGAGCCAGTAGAGGTGGGAAGTCACGCCTGATCGTGCCTGTCTCCAAGCGTGACATGTGCTTGCCTCGTCAGATAGAGGGCGGCCCGCAGTCGTCAGCAGGAACACCACGACGGCAAGCGCTAATGCAGCTCAGGCAGGAACAAACTGCAAATCGTCAGCTTCCATGGTTCCAACACCACCAAGTCCCGTCTTTCCTTCCGTCGACTGCCGCCGTGCCTGAGATCTTTCACGTACTGGAACGGGCAACATCTTTCCTGGCTTCAGGTAAGCAGAGTATCCTGAGATGTGCCCTCGACGAAGGCGGGAAGGGACCTGATAACTATTCTTGTCGTCGTTCTTGTCGGTAAGCCAGCGTTAGTGGCTGGCTGCCTCAAGGAAGCCCGCGGGCGTTCTTTGGCTCCTGGCAGCCTGTAGAGGTAGACACCAAAGAGCATCGCACAAGTAGCCTAGGTACCTACTAGCAAGATTTGACAAAATGCCATGCGATGAACCAATGGACGAGACGAGTGTTGGGAACAATCACATATTGCAAATGAAGAATAATTGAAAGAAATAATGAGTAATCAATTGCAGAAGCAGGCCAAAGTCGTCCGACGATGAAATCTATGGTATCTTCTCCTTCCCGTAAACGCCTCTCAATCAATATTCGCCCGTCCTTAATCCTCCTTCATCTCATCGTCTGTATCGTGGTCGCCGTGGGGGGGGGGGGGGGGGGGGGGGGTTGTCGCCAAGGCGATCAAGAATGAGTCACTGATCGTGCCGTATCACATCGACCCTTCGCCGCACGCACACGCTTTCCCCCGGATATCCGCGTCCGACTATCTGGTGTGAGAGGCTAGAAGGATCACCCTACTTTCCGCCGTACTGGTTCATGGTCTTTGAGATGTTCTCCGCGGCTCTAGCCTGGTGGCGCGCCTGACTAGCAGCGACATCATCGTTTCGAAACGCGGCGCCGTATGCACTTGGTTCATCGGACGCTGGTTGGTTCTGGTACATCGAAGTCCTTCGTTGGGCGAGCTCTTTCTTGGATTCTTTGGATGAGTGCTTGTGTGACCCCTTTGAGGAGGAATAGCTACCACCCGTCGGATTAGTATATCAGCCCAATGCGCTTCCTTCCCCTCAAATTCCTCTCCGGGAGCCAGATGATGTACCCGCTGTAAGATGACTGTCCGGAGTGCGCCATGTTTGCCTATGCTGAGGATGGATAGCGTATGCGGAGTGACGGGCGTGAAATCTTGCGAATGACTGGTTGTCAAGGAATCGAGTAGCTATTCGCGAGGCTGCGAGTCTGACCGTTGGTGTGTAGAAGTGTAGGCTCCTCAGGATCCAACTTCACGGATTTAAATACTGACGACCTGCAAAGCGCGCGCACCATTGCCGGCCAAAGTTGCGGTTTGGAAAGAGACATGATACACTTCAGGCCCTTGCATGGGTGACTGCCCAGCAGAACGCCATGTGCTGTTGCGATGGGGTTGACTTGGGTGGAACGGAGCCACTAAACGAATGGTAGTGTCGAATTACTACCCCAAGCAAGTCGAGGCGGTCGAACAGCAATGCCGTAGCATGGTAATGACATTGAGGGAGGCGTGGCAATCGAGACGAGGAGGCAGGTGCCTTGCAGGGGGGGGGGGCGAGGTTGTCGAAAGATTCATACACTTGTCCGGTTGCGTCTGTTAGTCTCTTCAACCTGTTGAGGCGCCCGCTCCGCCCCCGCAAATTGAATATCCGCAGTATGCCGGCCGAGTATCTAAGGAGTCAGTGAAGTTGGCATATCGAGTCTTTACGACTGCATTGTATAGATAGCAAAGCAGGCATGGTGCCTTTCCACAAGTGGTATAGCAGTTCTGTGATAGCATCGTCAGTCTTGAGTAGAGATCAGGTACTCCAACCATCTTGTGCTGTGGGTCGGAGCATCGGCTCCTTGCTCGGAATGTTGATAATGTTGAAGATTTGTCGAGATGTCTTTCGCTTGAAAGAACTGTGCAGGCAGTACGCTTTCTTTCAGCAATGTGGACAGTATGAAGCACATTCGCATCGCATGCCGTTCGTAACGAAACTTGGATGTCACCGGGACCGGCCCAGATCAGCAAGTCGTAACTTGCAGCAAAAAGAAGTAATCCACCCCGTGTGACGGGGTAACCGGTCGATGCGCAAAACGAATGGACTTCCAGTATGCTGGACAGCCTAGACTTGACTTCAAGTCGGTCGATCGTTCAGGCAACTCATCCAATAGTCGAAAGTACCGTGCAGGAGAGACTCGCTGCTATGCGAAATGGAAGTCGCTCCAAGCCGAGATTGTTTGACAGACTGCGACCATGAATTGTAAGACTGGTAAAGCAAGCCGGCGGGCGTAGGTACTCTGAATGACGCGACGCCGCGAAAGAGATTGGTGAGAAGTCGTGGTGTGCGCTCATCCAAATGGAAGTGGAAAAACTCCACATCCAGTACGGCTCGAATGTAAGCGCTATGCAGTGTGATGAGCTGAGATGTGTTGATGTGATGCATAAGTCTGCCTTGCCGAGAGCCAGCAAGGCCCAATCAATGGCTTGGCGGTGATGAAGGCGGATATGTTGAGGAAAAGGGGGCTTCCAGATGATGCGAGGTGACGCGGCGAGAGGCCTCCCCTCTTGGAATCCGCCTCATCGGCCGTCGCCTTGATTCTGCCTCGTAACGCCTCGTTCTGTTGCCGACAAGGCACCGATGGTTCGCGGTCGATGAGGCAATCCGGATTGCCTCGTGTGAACGAAATGGTCCGCCGCTGGGTCGCCTGGGTCGTTGGACGCCTTGCTGATTCATGCTACTCCATGGCCAAGTGGTGACAGGTGTACACGAGGGACTTGGGCTGAGCTGGAGATTTCGAACATGAAGGAATGCCGGATCGTGGTCGATGCGTGAAAGCGGCCTCAGTGAAGGCGCGAATAGTGCTCGCTGCCATGTCCGTCATTGTGTTCCAAGATCGTTGAGTTCAGCTTAGATGTGGGTATGCGACAAGGTGAGAATGGGAGCCAAAAGAGCCCAGTGTGCAGAGCTAGCTGGGAGGAGAGGAACGAGGATAGGTGAAAGAGAAGAGTCCTGAGGCCCGGGGATTCTAGACACGCTTCGAAACCTCGAATCTTAACGGACACATTCAGTCGAAGCACGGATGGGACATCGCGGGAACGCAATGCCTTAAATGGAAACATGACGGTGGTGGATTGGTGCCATCACTGCATAAGATTGCCTGATATATTGCCTGAGGCATGAATGCGTATTTAGCTTTCTTTTCTGCAGGTATGCGTTTACCCAAGAATAGGGCTAGGAGGCTTATCTTGGCTGTGGCCAAAATCACCTTTTAGGCAGCAGGGCGGAGCCATCATGTCTCAGCCCTACCATAGCAATTCGGTCAACGAACCATCCAATCCCCTATCAGACTCACAGCCATCACATCCCCAACTGTGTCGGCTGCGCTTGCATATTGGGCTTGCAGGTTTCGTTGTCCCAGGAAGCACAACCCCTCGTCATGTCATCCTATCAGTCCTACCTGCCGTGCCTGCCTTGCTCTCGAGTTATCTACACGCCTTCGGTGTGTCTCGGCGGAAAGCAAGAACCCTGCACACTGAATGATGCTGCGACATAGGGGAATACTATTCTTCGAGGACATATTTCACCTCCATGAGACTCCATACAACCCTTTAGTATCCCATCGGGTGCGGATGGACAGCACTTTCGCCAAGACCACGAAATACCCACTATTTATTGACTATTACCCCGCATTTAAAGGGGTACTTGACGATACGTCACTTATCCCTATGTTCTTTTGCCTATTATCACCACTATTATTACCATTTTGAATGATGCTATGATGTCTTCTGGTGAAACTGATACCTCTATTGCATCTAATGCTTCTGTTACTTCTATACGTAGCTGTATAGTAGTTGAGGTCTACCCAGAAGACCTTACTGCTGCCTGCAATGCAGACTGTACGCCAGAACGCTGCGACGCAGCAACAGTGCGGCCCCACGAACCTCCAGCTACCGAGCATGGCCTTCCGGGTTCGTTTCGGCCCCTTGACGTGCCGGCCCGGGCCCAAAAGATACGGGGGCTGCCGGCAAGCCCGCTTGACCTATTCATGCAGTACGTTCCGCAGGGCCTCTTTGAGCAGTGGGCCCAGTGGACGAATGCAGCACCGTTATCTAGGGAGGGCCCTAGGGCTAGACGGGCTAGAATATATGAGTGGGGGAAGACTTCAACAGACGAAATCTACCTCTTCTTAGGGATCCTATTATATATAGGGATCCATAGAGAATCTAGATTATCAACCTACTGGTCAACCCAGCAGCAGAGAGAGGATCCTATCCACCTATTTACACGGTTTATGTCCCGGGACCGTTTCCAACTACTACTCCAGCGACTACGGATATTCAATACTGCGGAATTCCAGCCCGAGCAGCACGCCCAGCCCAGCCCTGCCCGGCCCAGCTAACTAGGAATTAGGTCAACCAATTCACCTGGAAGGATAATGCCCTCGTACTCTTCCTGTCAACTGTCTTCCAGGACGGCCAGGAAGTTATTCGCAGCCGCCGCCGCCCGGCTGGGGATACCGCTGCTAAGAAGGCCGCCCGGGAAGTCTTCGGCCCGAATGTCCGCAAAGACCTTCTAATCCCTAGGGCAATTGATGAATATAATCATAAGATGAATGGGGTTGATGTGAGTGACCAGATGAGGTCCTACTATCAATATAACCACCCTATTCGTCGAGGGGGCTGGCAGTCAGTTGCCTGGAATTTCCTACTAGAAGTGGTAGTTGTGAATAGCTTCCTACTGCAGCTCTGGGGCAGCCCTAGGTGGAAAAAGGTGAAAACCCACTACCAATGGCGGCAGTTGCTGGCTGCCTAGCTTATTCAACGGTTTGGACCATTGGCAGGCGGGCGAAGACTATCACGGCCTAGACGGGCTATAGATAAGAGGAATATTTCTATCCCATGGGAACAGCATAGGAAGGGATCAAGGAAGGTATCTTCACCTTGTACCTATTGTGGTAGTAGGAAGGTTTTCAAGGAGATATCTGGGAATACCATCACTCGGCAACGACGGCAGACAACTCGAAAGGGTTGCTTAGATTGTGATGTACCATTATGTATTAATAAAGATTGCTGGTACCTCTGGCATACCGAAAATCTGTAGGAAACAGAGGTACTACAGCCCTATGTTACGGCCAGCTAGTCGTAGGGGTAGTTTGCAGAAGTTGAGGCTGCGGAACTGGTAACAGTAATCGTAGTCGTGGAATAGTTTCAAGGAAACTATGTCTGTCAATCGTAAGGGTAGGTAAGGCTTCGGTGATCAATCGTAGTCTTGTCAAGGTAGTAGCTGAAAGCGGATGTTAATCCTGATACGAAGTTAATTGCTGAAGAGCTATGGAAAGTCTGTCCTAGAGTCCGGCTCGAGTCCATCCTATATACAAGTCCTGGTCCTGAACATATCCCTTGTCAATGATCAGTTCCTCTGATCGGGTGAGCGCTCATCGTTCGGCATGAGCGCTCATTGTTCGGCATGAGCGCTCATTACTTGGCATGAGCGCTCATGGCCCCACCATGGTCGCTCATGGCCCCACCATGGCCGCTCATGTCTTATCTTATCATCACGTGACTTGTACCATAGTTCTTCCGTTCCGTGAGAGGGTGCCTAGTGTCCCTTATCTCCTGCATATGTGGTGTATTATAACCGCCGCGAGCCTGCGGGGCAGGCCCTGTTCTTGGTCATGCATGTTGGGTTGTAACACCCTATTGGTTAACTTTATAGATTTGCAAGCCCTTATTGGCTCTACCCCGCCCTTGGCGAAAGTGCTGTCCATCCGCACCCGATGGGATAGGTATGCCTTGACGCTCTTCATGAATCTAGGTACTTGAGATTTAAACAATGGCGCGCGCATCAATCAACTCGGGTTTGCCCCACGCCGGTCCCGATCCCGATCTGTTATGGGGCCGAACATGGGCCTCTTGCGGAAGTGCTGATCGAAAGCACCCAGACGCGCTCTTTGGGACCGTGATGCGATAGTGTTGGCTGGCACATGGTCCGATTTTCTACCCATTTAATACTCAAAGAATTCCAAGAAACACGCTACAATCCCAGACCAGCGAAGACAGGTATCACGCTAGGTCCAAGTGATTCCCTGCAGCTCACACATCCAGTCCGAATGACCAGGCTCATACACATCAGTCGGCCCATACTCACCCCCCTCCGCCGCGTCCATATTACACACATTACCATTAAAGTTGCACAACTGCACCGGCTCCAGCCCAACACCCTTTTCCGACACAGTCTCCCACGGGTTCGTCAACTGCTCATAATCATGCCTCTGGAACCGCCATTCAGTCCACTTGCTGTTGGCCTCCTGCCTGCACAAGATAGCAGCAGATGAGGCGTCGCACGCCGTCTTGTTGAGAGTGCGGATAATGTAGACGTTCTGCGCCTGCATGAGCAGCGCCATGGCGTTCACGCTGACGGTCTTGTACATCCACGTATCAAAATCATCCTGCGTGATGTTCCTCTGGCGGGACAGGTAGCCACCGCCGCTCAGGACCTTGTTGAAGCCCCACGTCGGATCATCAATGTACGCGTCAATAACCTTTTTCGCGTACGTCCCGATCGCATGCTTATGCTCGTCGACTTTGCCGCCCATCTGGCTCGACAAATCGCTCCATCGCAGGAACTGGCCACCCGCGCTGGGCGCCAGCATCATTCCACCCGCAATGATGTTGCCGCCTTGGACGGTGCTGGCGATGCTACCTGCGGTTGCGCCGAGTGCTGCTGTGGTTGGGAAGGCGTTGAGGATACCGTTGACCCACGCCAGGAACTGTTTCATGGGGGTGACGTTGTCCTTCTTTGCTGGCCACAGGTCGTCGACCACCTTTGCGAGCTTTAGGCTTAGGATGGTGGCGGCGTATGTAACGGCGAGGTTGAGGTTGTTGACGTAGTTGTTCCAGCCTTGGACACCCATCAAAGCATACCTAATGAATCGACTAGTACAACGCAGTGCTTGAACAGTTATTTGAGTGTCCGACTTACCACCCGGGTAAAGTGACTGGTGTACACGGTTGGCCAGCATTGCACCACAGGTCTACTCCACAAAAGAAGTTGGGAGCTCCCAAGTACGCCCCCAAAGCTTGAATATTGTCGGAGGAGTATTCCGTATAATGTTTCGTGGCATCGGCCAAGAAGCTATCGACGCCCCCCTTCTTCCATGTATCGCTCGAGAGTTGGCTAGGCACACAGTTCGCACGAGAACTCACTACTGAGAGCAAGTCGGAGCTACGGCTAGACGGCGCCGCGTCCACATAGACACTCAGATACCCAACGCATAAAGCTCGTAAAGATCGGAAGTGCATGATGGGCTATTGTCTCTGGAGAGTGAACTGCCGGCAGTTACCTTGAAGAATTGATGGAAAGCTGCCTAGAGTTCGATGCGAAGAAGCTCTTCGACCAGAATTGAAAGACAAGAAATATGACGCCTGGCGGTGCGAGTTCATCCGAGGCAGGTTCCTGGAGTCCAAGTGAAACATATAAACATCTCAAAGACCATACGATCAGTCTCCACGTTCACCGAGCAAGCTCATTCCTGGGACGTGCGGTTTGTCGTCAAAATTGGCAAGCATCATTGGCAAATTGCGTGATAAGGTGTAATCGAGCAAGGTCCTGACTATAGACTTAAGAGGTGATACTCTAGCTTCATACAGTTGTCGTTCTCTAGATAGAGTATTATCACAACAAAAAGACATCCCACGCATTTCCAATTGATTTTGAAGTCAAAGCAGTCCGCGCCTTTCTAATTCTTCCTTCTCTATCTTTCCACAAACCAAACTCATCACACGGTACACACACCAGTGACCAACCATGAAATTCTCCATCCCCCTACTCCTCGCCGCCTTCACCACACAAGCACTCGCCGACAGACACCACTTCTGCTGGTGCGGAAGCGACCAAGTCCCCAAAAACGACCCCTGCCTAACACAAGCCGCCTGCGCCAAATACCCCCAAGACAAATTCTTCGGTGTCAAGGGCAAAGATCCGTCCGCACCGACGATGTCGAAATGGAGCGAGGAGAAGGCGAAATGCTATAGCACGCGCGCGTGGCCCGTGATCCCGCATCTCTTTCTCGGCGGCAACGAATTTGAAGATGCGTGCTTTGCTGCGGCGGCGGATCAGGCTGTCATTGGTGTCTGTGGTGTTTCGCCGGGAGTTAGGACGGGGGTTAAGTCGTATTGCTCTGAGCCTTTTGACTGAAAGGATGTGCGCTACTAGTTTTGAGAGGTAAGATGCTTTCTCAAAGATTAAACACTTGCAAGATTCTGTCGAGGTAGTAGCTGACCATTTTTGCCGTTCCCAGTCTTCTATGGACTCACACTCAAAATCGTGGGGGGGGGGGGGGAAGAAACCACGCAGCTCGATCAATTATGGCGGCTTTTCGGGACTAGGATGTATCATTGGGAATGGAACTACTTTGCAAAATGACCTCTAGATATGTTATTCAGATTGTTGTCTCATTTCAGCGTGAAGATATTAACTCTCCTCGTAATTCTTATAAATTTGTGACTGATCTCGATAATCGATGAAGACCGGTTATGGTCACTAGCAACAATTAGACCGGCCGCAAATGGACTAGTAAACTGAGTTTCAAGGACTATGGCTGGGTAAGTGCCATTCAGAAAAGATGAGCCCTGGCAGTATCTTTTGAAGAGAGCTTCAGAACCATCGCCCTCAACATCAAGTCAAACGCAAGCATGCCTCTACGTGAAGCGTCCGTTCTGCGTGCCAAGTGGCACCAGCTGAGCATGCACAGGCCGCCAATCAAACCATGGCCCACACACCCCTGACCCACCCTCCTTTATAAGCTGCCATTTATTTCTCTCATATTGCCTTCGGGCATTTGGTCAATTTGAAACGATACAGAGAAGATGTAAGTACCATTCCTGCACCCCTTGGGTTCGAGTCGGGAGTCAGTCATTAACTTTCTTCACAGTAGCATGGCCCCTGCACTAAGGATGACACGCTCAATCAAAGAGAAGCTACCAATTTTTTTCTCAATTCTTTGAGATCGACTTTTCGATTGAATGAATACTATGACGGTCAGGCGCGACCCGATATCTCTACCATCCGGCGCACATCTGCTTTGCCATGCCGATGGTCTCTGCCAGGCCTTTCTTTCCGCTCGTTGTTCACCTCTGTTTCCATCGCCGCCGCTAGACGTTGAAAACCTCCGAGTAAACTCAACCACACCACATTCTCTGGCCGTATTCTTCGGCGCTTTGTGCTCGTATACCCCAGGCTGCCACCTCGTGGACCTGACAGCGAATCATTCATCCGGTAGTCGTGGGGCCCAGGACTCCAGCTACCCAAACTGCCGGGTCACGAACAATGAGACCACACGAGCGGTTCCTTGTCCTTGTCCTCCTCAAAGCCGAATCTTTAGGTCTAAGCCGATGTCCATGTCTCGAAGCCCCCAACGTTCCTCGTTTCACGCCAAACGTTGCGTATACGATGAAAAGCCTTTTCGGGTGACTGTGAAAGGATACGCACGCGATGTACTCTGAAATCTTTGCTCAGTTTTTTCGTTTGGGCCTAACCGTCGAACGGCTGTCCACCAAGCTCCAATGCCAAGACCCTGGACTGACTGAAGATTGCCTCAGTTGCTTTTCGCCGTCCAAGAAAAATACCTGGTGGCGGTAGACGGTTCCTTGTGGCGTTCCGCTGTCGAGTGGCATCCTCAGCTTCTGCAGACCCTCATCTCCTCAACCTGTGATCTACCAGCTATCCAGCCCTCTGGCTGATAAATCATGACTATCCAACCGGGATCCTCATCTCCGCACAATTCGGTGTAAGATTTGTGGAGATCTGCATAAGACTACTGACCTGAAGTCGTATCTCTAGCTCCTCGTGCATGGACCGGCATAAGGCCAGAACAGTCTTCAGTATCGTGGCCTCGTCGGCCTCGTCGGACCTCGCGATCCCGGTCTCTCTTGCATAATGCATATCATAGCTCGTGCATGTGCATTGCCACATGCACAAGATCCTTCCACACCATCTGTCTATTCTGGATTTATCCTCTCGTTTCGACTCAGCTCGCCTAGCCTCATGGGGTTATCAAAGGAATCACCTCTCGGGTCCTAGTTCGCTACGAAGCCACGTTCTAGACCATTCATGTTTTAGCTGCCAAGCCTCTCGGTCCCCGCGAATCCATCCCGGGTCTCGAGAACATGGAGACTATTGCAGGAAGACACGATCTCGGCTGACTTTTCAGAAGTATTCATAAGTGCCGGATTCCATCGCGATATCCCCATAGACATGAAGCTATCCACCACTCTCATTCCTCACATTCTGATATCTGGCAAAGTGATTTAGCCGACTCAGACGTACCTTCATCATGAACTCGGCAAAGACAATCTTCTACGCGGCCTTGAGCGCTTCGCTCTCCTTCACATCTGTGCAGGCACAGGTTGCGGACTACCCATTTGACATTAACGGAGCGTTCGAGGGGTCAGTATACTTTCCTCCAGTGATAAGACAGTCATGAGCGAACTTCATACTGACGGAGAGAGTGCAGCGCTTCTGCCACCACAACAGACTTTAACACGGGTGGCACGTTCAGGTGCAATGGCCACGCTATCACTGTGCCTAAGAATCTTCAAGTCACATTCCCCGCTGCCTTCATCCCGTAATTACAGGGAATTCGTCGGTAGCAGTGGTGGCTACACTGGCTACAACTGCGAAGTCACCGGCAACGTCGTCAATGGAGTTCCCATTGCTGCCCAGGTCTCAATTGCACAATCGCTGCTAAACGGTGCCTCTGGTTTCGTTGATAGCGTGAACAATGATGGTCGGATCAAGTTGACGGACGGATACACCATCCGTATCAACGACCTTAACGCCATCTACTCCGTCGGATACACTGCTCAGCCTTTCTTCACTGCAGATGATGCCAACCCAAGTATCAGCTCTTTCTCTGGCTTTCCCATGTGTGCTCCGCGAAGCGCCGCCGATGCTCTTTGCCCTCAATTCAACAGACCTGATGTCACCCCAGGCGTTAAACAGGGGCTTTTGTAAGTAGTAACAACCGCCTTCTTTCCGATGCAATCTAACACATAATCAGCAAAGCACCCGACGCCCTCGTCATGGCCCCTATCGTAGCGGGTGATTTCGTCGAGTACTCTGGTGTTCAGTCCGGGAGCGAGATCATCGTTTACAACCTCGTCGTGAGCAACGTCCAAATAACCACTACGGGTGTTCCGACATACATCCGCATGGAAGATGCCAACATTGGTGTTTGAACCGCCGACACTGTCAACCAGGAAATCGCACAGACCAGAGTAAGTTCCCATGCTGGTGCCCCCCGCATCTTGAAGTGCCCTTTCAGCTAACGCATCGCAGTTCGTCGGCTACACATCTGACTCTGCCGCAAACGTCAACCCCATCAAGATCTACGCCATTGAGTACGACCCGTGCACCGGCGAGGCCGTCGACCGTGAGATCGCGGGCGTGAGCGTGCCCGGCACCGAGGTCCGCAACAAGTTTGAGTACCGCATCAAGGCAACCCAGAACGACAACTACGCCCGTGAGTACCGCGTCGTCGCTGGAACCGGCACCGTGAAGACCAAGAACGGTGTCCTGGCCGGCCAGTACGTTATGCCTGTCTCCGAATGGATTCAGCCCGAGGACTCTGTTCCCGGCCGCCCTCCTAGCCCGCATGACTTCCGCAGCTACGCTTTCCTCACCAAGGGGCTGGGTCGCGATGCCGAGGGTAACCTCTGGGGCCCGCTGAACCCCTTCCCCCAGACTGGCGCTATCCTCTACGATAGCTCCAAGTGCCCAGCCGCTACCACTCCTACTACCGGCACTGGCACTGGAACGGGTACCGGTTCCGGCACCACCACTACCCCTGCCACTGCTGCCAGCAGCTCAGCAGCGGCCGTCAAGTACAAGGATGTCGTGACGATGCCCACCTTCAACTGGGTCTCATCCCAGAGCGGCACCCTCACCGTCGGCTGCCAATCCAACAGCACCGACGACGCAGCGGTCGCGATGAAGCTGAGCTACACCAACAAGGACGGCACCACCACCGGCCTCGCCATGACCTCCGGCGGTAAGGGCCTCTGGAACTTCAACAGTAACAAGATCAAGCAGCCCACAACTGGAACGGTCATTTGCAAGATTGGTCTTGGCGGCCAGGTGGCACGCTGAGGTGCTCGTCAGGAACGTTTGGCTGTTGATCTTTGTCGTTTTGGTTGGGACTTGAATGCGCGATACCTTTTAGATTTACATTCCATATTAATGAATGATGACCACCATTGTAATGATTTGCCTAGTCTCTGTGTTGGTACTTTACCATTTGAGGATAGTCACGGCCGAAAGCATCAGTGCCAAGGCAATTCTATCAGTAATGAGTAATCATCACGGCTAAAGGAGTATGTCGGTGATCAGAAATGTCAGCATAGGGCAGGGGGGCTCGGACAACTTGCAATTTGCAAACGACTCGGCATGTCTAGAGTTTATTTAGAGTCCCCGCGAGTTTGAGAATAGGAAAGGATAGCCGACTAAGTCCATGTTTAGTGTCGCACTTTCGAGTCATTCTTGACGAACGGTTAGCGTTTGGTGGAGATGAGTGGGAGAGCGTGTAACGTTTGGAGCGCTAGAGCGAGACGAGCTAACCGGATACTCTTTGGCTGCTCCGATGATGTGCGGCTTAGGGAGAAGTGTCTCTTTAGGTGACCCTTGGTTACTGCCAAGTCTCCTTGTTTTGGATAGAGGTTGAGGTTTGCTTACGAAGGCCTTCTCTTCTCCTATTATCAAGGTGCCAGATCTAAACTCGAATACAGCGCGAATATTCAAGCTTTTGATTCACGATCCTCCAAGTCCCTAAATTATACAGATGCCAAATTTACTTTTAGCGACTTACGGCGCTGACACTTCATTTGCATAGGTAGTTTAATTCCCGGTATGATGTAATCCGTGACTACCTTCAAGTGGAAGCTTGAATCCATGATTTATTATGAGGTGTGAAAGAGCAGTGGCAACTCTGGAGCCACTCCATGTCAGAGTATATTTCTATAATTTCCTCCTATCAAATGTGCAAGAAGAGTTGAATGGGAGGAACCGGGGAGACGTAAGTGCCAATGCCATACAGTTCTCGGTAGGATAGTCACCGTCATATGGAAAGTAGCCGGACCGGCATCCGCTCGGAGGTTCCAGCCATTACAGACCCTGATTATTTCCAAAGCTTATTAAACCAATCCCGGACACTTCCCGATTAGAACGATTCTTCACAAAGCAAGGTACTCGAGAAAATGCCCTAGTGTATTCTAAATTTTGATGCTAGGCAATGATTTTCATTCCCTCTCGCTCCAGTACTGGAGTCATTTCTGTCGCCGGCGTAGCCCAGACGCGTGTCGAAACAGCTTATCTATTGCTAGGATTGAGTCTACTCAGGCTGCAGGCAATTCAGGAAGGCCCTCCTCGGGTGATGGCGAAGGTAGAACCACGCTGGTTTTCTTCCAATGAGGTCTCTCCACATCAGGTCCAAGATGAATCTTTCTATCGTGAGTGCTGCATTTGGAACAGAACCAGAAGTCGGTACATGTCCGGCAAGTGAATGCCTCGCCGATTACGTGCTACTCATACAAAGCAAGGCATTAGCAACACATTCATTCGGCGATGAGGGAAACACATACCGATTGACAACAAGAGCAAACCATTCCTTGACGTGGATAGCCCATTTTTTTTTTCTTTATGAGTTTCTCGAGTGACTTTGACTTGCTGTTACTCGGGATCGCATTCGCCAACGCCGCAATGATATCTTTTCCACTGTTGTGGAAATAGGCGATTTCCAACGGGGTCCATTTCGATCCCGTTCTGGTCTAACACTCGACTTCGACATTCGCGCCCCCCTTGAGGAGGTATTTAACCACCTCTGCTTGATCTTGGGGTGTTTTATCAAACTTTGCTTTCGAGCTCAGACCTCTAGCAGCCCAGCATAATGCCGTCCAGTCATCGCGATCGCCTTGGTCGATGTCCACAACTTGAGCTGAAAGGATATCATCGATCGCCTTGACATCCCCACTTTGAGCTGCCCAGTGTAAGACAGTGCGAACGGTCATGTCTGCGGTACTCAAGGGAATTTTCTTAAGTCGGTGAGCTTCGACAAGGTGCGAGAGCCTGTCAGACGAATGAACAGCTGCGATGTGAATCGGCAGACGTCCCATTTCGTCAGCAACACCCGTGCTCCCACTGAGTTCGTCCAGAAGAATCTTGCATGTGCTGTCTAACGGCAATATGCAAGCTATGTTGAGCGCAGTGCCAAAATATCCGCTAGCTCGATTGATATCCACTTTCGCCTCTCTCACGAAATATCGGATAATCTCATCGTGTTGGTATCACAGGCGTGATACATTTCCTCATGAGGGTGTATCTTCGGCAACAATCACGTCGATGTCCGTGATAATTGCTGTTGTTCTTCTTCTTCCTATTTACATTGTGGGCAGGGGCCGATCGAAGTAGGTGGGGACGGCCTGGGTGGTTGTCCCACCTTAACCGGCCTTGATGACTAAGCCGGTTGTCCCACTTCGCCCAGGGCAGGCGCCAGCCAGCCCACGATACCTGCCCATTGCTCCTTATCAGCCTTGCCGTTCCGACACATCGTGTTCGGATCGACGTATGCCGGCATGCAGGTTGCCAAGACATGTCGCCTGCAAAGCACCGCCGAGCGAGCCCTTAGAGATGAAGCTTGCGTCTGCTTCGCATTTCTGATGAAGGTATTTGACCGCTTCCAATTGCCGTCATAGCAAGCTTTATTCAAGACTGTGCCGTACCGAGAATTGTCTAAATTGACTTTGGCGCCCCCGGCAATCAGTTGCTGAATCAACGGCTCGCTGAACACGTTACTTGCGATGAGGTTGATTAGCGGCGTGCAGCACCTCCGTGAACATGCAATGTTGGCATCATGACCGTCTTCAAGGAACCTCTCGATCGAGAGTTGGTAACGTTTAACCGCGTTAGAATAGTTTATGCGAGTCGAACGTAGGAGAGCCGTAACTCCATGCTCGTCGATATAGTTATCATCGGCCAATATTAACGCAAGGTTGTTGAGCGGTTCAGCGTTGAGGTGGGGATCGCGGGAAACCCCGAGAGAGGGATATCTCCCGATCCCTGTGCCACCTTCCTGCGATTGCGGGCTTGAGCTTCCTGAGCTCGTGTCTGAAGTCGACTGAGAAGCCATGATGTGAGCTGGAGGTTGTTGAGGGCGTCAAAGAGGTCGTTTTGCTTTTGTCACTTTGGAGGGACGGTGAGCTATATTGGCGAAACTACTAGTAGAAAAGCTGATGAGGTTGCTGGTGGGAAGAAATCGTGGGGAAGGACCAACCACTTTAAATACAGTGGTGTAATTAATGCAGGCGCGATGAAGCTTTACTGTTCACTCGCGAAAGGTCTGCGTTTGTGTAGCACAGAAGTAGGCGGTAGCAATTTGGCTTTGTTCTTCTTCGGACCCAAGCAGTCAATCTGAACATCCAATGAAGAGGTGAAGAAAGCCAAGAGAAAATGTGACGCCAGAGGAGAGTCACCCCCTCAATTGAATTGAACAGTCAAAGATACTCGCAAGCGATAGCGGGGACGGGACAAATTCCAAACCTCAGCTGACATTGCATCCGTGTTGCTAGGTGAATTGAATTGGATAATTTCTTTGTCAGTCCAGGTAGTACATGGTAAGGTGGCGTGGGTGGGTAAAGGTTTGCTAAAGGATGAACCTCATATTGATCACCACAATACAGAGCGTGCCCGTTCTGTCACCGCCACCATCACAGGTTTCCTTTTCATCCAGAAACACTTATTCAAACTTGGTGTTTACGAGATATGTGGCGGTTAAGATAGCCCGCCTGTCCTACTTGAAGTATTGGCCCTTGAATCCCGGGAGGATCTCCTGTCCTTCAGAATTCTGGTAGCTGACCCCTTTCCTTTGCTGCCAAGTCTGCTTGAGGGTGGTGAACTCTCCCATGGTCGGCACCGGGTGGCCTCCCGCCTCGAACTCGTTCTGCGTGAAGCCTTCGCGCTTCAGCACTGGCGAGTCAATCGTCTTGAGTACGAGCTCGTTTTGAGGGCGGGCAAAGTACAACAAGCCCAGGCGATCGACATGGCGCTGGTCCTTGGGCGGCACGGATACCTGACGCGCAGATTAGCCTGCTGTAAGGGAAATTAGTAGGGATCGGATTTGACTCACCCGATGAACTGTGGACTTGACGTAACCGCCCGTGAGGAAGCTGAGGGCATCGCAAGTGTTGACGGTCAAACTACCATCCAGCGGCTTGGCCCACTTCCAGTCGCCGGTCGCGTGGTCTCTAATTTGCAAAGCAGCAACAGGTTGACGGAATAGCAGTGTAATCGTTCCCAAGTCAGTGTGACCACGAGACCACAAGCCATCCTCGAGCTGTTTAATTTCTTCCGAGGTGAACTTGGAATACTTCATGTAACGCAGGTGGGACTCATCATGAGTCTCCCACTTGTGCACACGCGTGAAGAAGTCCTCGGGCAGCTCCAAAGCCAGAGCGATCAGGTGGTTCAAGGGGCCCAGCACCTTATCATGCAGATCCTACAGCCGGCATCAGTAATAACTCCTCTGCTTAAATGTACGAGGACCACTGATTACCTTTGCAAATCCTTCAATCTCTTCCTTGCGATCTTCCAATAGCTTGGGCAGAGGTTGCGTAATGTGTCCAGCGCGGGCTGTTGGGGATCTTGATCAGCAACCATTCCTTGATCTTAAATAATTGCGGCAAGATTCATTAGAAACTCACTGGCCATGTTCCAAACTTCCGTCTTATCCTTGAGACCACCGCTCAAAAATCGCCGACCAGCGGGACGGTATCCATTGTAGTCTCCAGAGTCCAAATTCGGCTCGTACTTGAGTTTCTCGTCCAGGGGTAGCTCGTAAAACTTCTGGCCAAGAGCAAACTGCGTATCAACTGTCTCTTGCGAGATGCCGTAGTTTACGACATAGAAAAACCCCTTGGTGCGAATTGCCTCGATCAATGTCTCGGCAAGCTCCTTGTTGCCCTCAGGTGTTCCATACTTGGCAAGATCGATGGTGGGAACTTCGGGTACATGTTAGCTTGCAAGTCCCGCAGTGTGATGTATCAAGACTTGAGAACCGAAGACTTACGGTCAGCCCAATCGAGGTTTTCCTCCGTCTCTGGGACGTGGGTGTATTGGTACAACTCGGACACAGCAGATGGCATTTTGGGCGGTGAGGCGGGGTATCCTTTGCTCGGAGGTTCAGGTGATCTCTGTCTAGGTTTTCTCCAACGCCCAAGCCCAGGTTACAAGCTCACCATTTTAACTGTAAGCCTTTACTGCGACTCCGGACGGCTTCACGCCGGATCTCGCTTCCCGTATTAGTCGAGCCAACACGGCACGGCAACGTCTCCGCAGGACTCAACCCCCACCAAATCCTCAACCATCAAGAGACCAATAGTACCAAGTTGATTTGGTTTCATCCCTCTCCATGGTGTCACACTCGCACTTTACCCCGCGGCACTTACCAAGCAACACGATAAATCTACTTGGTCGAGGCACTTGGAGATGCGAGATCGCCGCATGTCATCATCTGATAACGGATGGCGCAATCCCCACCCCCGTCGCACGTAGTCGGGCTTTTCCCGCCACAGAACCGACATCTGCGCCGCAGGGAACGGATTCAAACCAGTGCAGAGATTCCACTCGGTAGTATTTCTCCGGTCTTTGGCGTTCGGAAAACCACCGAGTTCGGCGGAACGGGCGGGTGAGGGTTTGTCCGGACTCACGATCTCGTTGCCGCATCGGAGGTTATTGGCTCTTGTTTTAAGTTACTTTACCCGCTATCCCGCATCTTTCCCCGGTAAGTATGGGCACTCGTCATTCTTGCCACTATGGCGAATAGTGGGCGAGGCTCTTGTGCGATGCATAGTCGGGTCTCGGCGGGTGTTGTACTGCGTGAGAGCTGAGCTTATCGCGGGCAACGCGCCGCGGTGGTTGGGTGCTTACAGACTACAGTAGGAGCACATCTTGAGGGTGGCAAGCATTTGTTGACATGTTGACATAATACCAAGACGGAGAAAGGAACATAGACAGGGGGCGAGGACTTTTTCCATCCGGTGATATTATATGTAAACCACTACCGACAGCGAAGTGCCGACTTTGACGTCTGCACGTACGTCGCAAACGAGAATCCGGTAAAGTCTGCTGAGAATGGGGTCTTTCGCTCAAGCAGTGAAGAAAAACAAGATAGGGGCGGTGGTTTTATCAGTATTTGACTGGTACCGTAAGTATTCGACCGTGTATCTTACACGAGGCAGTCACTCACGATCGTTGAACAGCCTCCCACTATCCTGCAGAAGAGCGGAAACTGTTGCGGAAACTCGATCTCGCCATTTTGGTGTTTGGTAGTCTGTCTTGTAAGTTATATTGCTCCCAGTCAGTCAATTTCGAGCACGTCTAATTCATGGTTTTACCACTTTTAGTCTTTTGCAGAGTAAGGAAGCCTTATGTACGCTTACTCCTGGATTTATGAGAGCTAACCGCCAGCAGTTCCTCGGGCAGCAAAATGTCACCAACGCCTATGTCTCAGGCATGCGTGAGGATCTCGATTCTCATGGCAACGAGTTGAATTACTATGTCGTTGCTTGTAAGTATCTGTTCAGATACCCAAGGACCTGCACTGCTGACCTCTTCAGACAACACCGCATACGTCATTGGACAGATTCCGCTCATGACTCTACAGACCAAGGCGAAAATGTACGTTTGACAATTCAACAACAACCCAGATGATGCAGCAAGTTGCTGATTAAGAGACGATCATACAGAGCGCCTTTCTTGCTACCTTCCCTCCAGATTATCTGGGCAGTCATCGCCTTTTCTCAGTCTACAATTAAGCATAGCTGGCATTTGTACATCCTCCGCGCTGTCACAGGCTTTCTCGAAGCTTCCTCATTCGGCGGCACTCATCTCATCTGTAAGGATCCTTGCTGCAATCCATTCCATAAATAGTACGCGGAGAGACTGACCGAAAATAGTGGGTAGCTGGTTCAAGAACGAGGAGCTCTTCAAACGAGCTGGGGTGTGGTTCATGGGCAACTCCCTAGGCTCCATGTTCTCCGGTTACCTGCAGGCTGCGGCGTATCGAAACCTCAATGGCGTCTTTGGGCGTGCGGGTTGGCGATGGCTCTTCATCGTTCAAGGGATCATCACCTTGCCCATATCCTTCTTAGGTTTTGCGTTCTGGCCTGGTCTGCCCACCTCTCCCAAGAGGTGGTACTTCTCCGCGGAGGAGCATGCCCTTGCTGTTAAGCGGATGCCGACCGTCGAGCAAGAAGGTATTACATGGAAGACGTTTAAGTATACGCTCTCTAGACCGATGTGGTGGATTTGCGTTCCCTGCTACATGTGAGTACACTGGAAAATACTCGAAGGGAAATCTCAGTCTGACACATCGCAGCTTTCTGTGTCAAGCACATTACTGGACAGGTTATATGGCTTTGTGGCTAAAGGCAGCTGGCTACTCTGTTGAGTTGGTGAATATCTTGCCGACTTTCATCGACCTTCTGCGCGCACTATCGTCGTGGCTTGGAACCACGTTGGCGGGCTGCTTGAGTCTTAGAGGACTTTGGTCTTTTCAAGCTGTTAGTTTATCTTTGAGCCAAGCCGGCGTGGGCAATTGGGCTAATATCTCACAGTCATTTGTCCTATTCTCATGCATCGTCCTGTCGATGTGGAATGTCCCCGACATTCTCAAGTTCCTCGCATTCTATTTCGGAGGGTTTTCTGGAATGGCATCCCCGATCTTGGTATGTCACCCTGGGTGCTGCGCTAGACTCACTACATGTACCTTAAGCTAACAAAAGCCCATTAGTATTCCTGGTTGAACTCTACGCTCAAAGAAAATTATGGCGAAAGAGGACTCATCATCTCTTCAATGATGACTCTCGGATTCTGTGGACAAATTTGGATCCCTCTCTTCACTTTCCCAACTGTGGAAGCACCACGCTATCCCCACGGATATCCCGCAGCTACAGTATTCGAAGTTGCAATGTGGGGTTTCCTCATGTTCGGCACCTGGTACATGAAGAGATGGAAGCATAAGCACCCTGATCTGGAGATGAGGCTTGCGACCGAAGGAGCAGCCGGGGAAGGCTCTTCAGTCATCGGATCTGACTCCGATAGACCCGATGGTGATGGTCCGGCTCCCCGGTACATGGGCAAAGGGGAAGAGGTTGTGGCCACTCAACCTGTGAGCCAGAAAAGTTGAGACACATTCCAGAGACAAGGAGTCAAAAGCGTGCAATGATTGTTTTATAAACAACGCAGTGGCAGGGGATTTGGCCGTGTTACTTGATGGAGGTACGCAGGTGTAAATCGAAGATCTGAATATGAAATATACAGAACGAATTGGTTTAGCGTTTAAAATTGTCGGGCATATGCAGACAGACAATGCTTCAAGTGTAATGTAGCCATTCCGCGAAAGGCGGCAATCTGGACTTCGAAGCGTCCACAGCCATATTGTCACGAATCAGCATATAGAGTAGCTCATGGAAATCGGGATCTCAACTGTGGTCTAATCAACTATGGAAAGGGGAAAAGGGAAGCCCTCGAGGGAGCCCCTTTTGTATGCCCTTACCCCTGTCTACCCCTTATCTCTACCCCTGAGATATCCACTGCTATACCTCTTTCGTGACACATATGTACTCGCGCGAGGAAGTGAGTGAAATCGAGGATGTAGCGGACGGAACGCTTGGCTGAACAGTCGAGCTGTTCGGTCTTCTTCATCTCAAGCGATTGAGTTCGTGTCTCGTTGTACAAATGCAATTGTGCCACATAACAAAGCACAATTGATTACTGTTGGAACAGCAAAGGCTGATAAGGAGTAATAGGCAGGTACCATGGGCTGGCTGGCACCTGCCCTGGGCGAAGTGGGACAACTGGCTTAGTCATCACGGCCGGATAAAGGTGGGGCAACCACACAGGCCGTCACTACCTACTTCGACCGACTCCTGCCTACAATGTAAGATAGAACAACAACAAGACAAGAACAAGCAATAGGATCACCAACAGACGAGTGATAATTGCTACCACTATTTGTCGTATACGACCCCGTGAACCAACAATTACTTATGCTTAAATACGGCCATTGAATTGTTTGTTGAGAGTTGGGACTGTACTTTGGTCAGACTAACCCAATTAGGCAGGCTGCAAATTGCGGCGGTCTGACATAAGACCGAGGTGACGCGCCTTTAAGAATGTCAATTGCGTTTCGTTTCACTCTGCTTACCTACTCTTAATTGATTGCCTAGCAAACGACTTCGTCACGTCGCATGTGCCTGGAATACACGCTCTCATAAAGAGCCGACCGAGCCGGGAACTTTCATCTTGTAACTGTATTGCTCATACGAATATAGCCGCATATTCCCACGCCGTCAAGATGGCGCCAAACCAGAAGCCGGCAACTGGCGACACCAGCAGCGACGCGACGGAGACAACTCCGTTGCTCATTGCCGGCGATATCGCTCCGACTGCCGATCCCGATGTCTCCAAGGCCACAACACTCAATGAGCCATCCCAAGAGAATGACACACCGGACGAGGATGATAAGCCATTGCCGGTATGGCAAGTCTTTTGGCTATGCTACGCTCGACTCGTGGAGCCCATGGCCTTCTTCTGCATCTTTCCTTACATCAGCCAGATGGCCGAAGAGAACGGCCACCTCGCCAAGGCGGACGTCGGTTTCTACAGCGGCCTCATTGAGTCCCTCTTTTCCCTGACTCAGGCCGTTGTCATGATCTTCTGGGGTAGACTCTCTGATAGAATTGGCCGTAAGCCAGTCCTCGTCTTCTCACTCTGCGGTGTTACCATCGCCACGTCCATCTTCGGCATGGCACAGACCATCCCGCAGATGATCCTCTTCCGATGCCTAGCAGGCGTCTTTGGCGGATCCCTTGTCACGATGCGCACCATGATTGCCGAGCACGTCACTCAGAAGACGCAAGCTAGAGCGTTCAGCTGGTTCGCTTTGAGCGGCAACCTTGGCATCTTCTTCGGGCCTCTTCTGGGCGGAGCCCTCGCCGATCCGGCCCATCAGTACCCGAGCGTCTTTACAGCCCAGTTCTTCTTCGACTACCCTTACGCACTATCCAGCTTCTGCGTTGGCTTCATTGGCTTGACGGCGACAATCACTAGCATACTGTTTGTCGAGGAAACACTGGTCAAGGAGAAGCACAGCAGCAACGATGACGCAGCGGCACCGCCCAAGAAGGACAAAGGCTCTATCAAAGGAATCGTCAAATCACCAGGCGCCTCCAATGTCCTCTTCGCGTACGGCTACCTCATGCTCCTCGCATTGTCCTACACGGCCGTCGTTCCCGTCTTCTGGTTTACCCCAGTTGAGCTTGGCGGCTATGGCTTCACCCCTCTGCAAATCTCCGTCATGATGTCCGTCAACGGCATCGCCCAAGTCTCATGGCTCCTCATCATCTTCCCGCCGCTGCAGCATCGTATAGGAACCAACGGCGTGCTGCGCGCATGCGCTTACGCTTACCCTTGGTTCTTCCTCGTCTGTCCTCTCGGCAACGTTGTCCTGAAGCTCGGCGTACACAATCCGGCCTGGGTGACGTTCTTCTGGGTCTTCATGCCCATTGCTCTCACCATCGGCTCCGGTGTGAGCATGAGCTTTACTGCTATACAATTGTCATTGAACGACATCTCGCCTAGCCCTCGAGTTCTGGGAACGCTCAATGCTTTGGCGCTCACCGGCGCGAGCGTAATCAGGGCTTTTTCTCCGGCCTCGTTCACAAGTCTGTTTGCCATTGGTGCTAGGACTCAGGCTCTGGGCGGTTACGCAATCTGGGTGTTGATGATTGCGCTCGCAGCTGGGCTAATATTCGCTGTGAGAAACCTCTATGGGCCAGAGGATCTGAAGAAAGCGAGAGAACAAGAGCAGGCCGAGTCGTCTTAGGCAGCCTTAGATGGATTCATATCAATCTATCGTTGCAGCATTCTGCATGGATAGAATTCTATGCCCAGGGCAACAATAGAGCAGGTTCTCATAGGAGCTTTTCTTCAGATTGCGTGCAAAATGAACAATCCTCTTCGTTACTTGCTCATGAGATACCCGCAATCAAATCGTGTCGAACGTTCAATATTGGGTCAGGGCCTTGGTCTAAGAATTTTGAAGATTTTGCTCCATCAGCATAATTATACTAATTACTATTACAGGTTATTCACAAAGGATATATATTCATATGGGTATTCCGCCAGCATCCGTCTCGTCATATTCCCGACTTTCTTTTCCTGTTAAAATCAGGCAAGACCGACTCCGGTTCTACCGGCTCCGTCGTTATCTCCACCTCGCGATGCTGCCATATCCTGTTATCCGAGTGAGGATACCCCGAATTGCTCTCTTTCGAGATCTTCTTCCCGTGGTAGTGCTCCCTCGCACTCATACCCGCTTCGTGTTCGGGGAAATTGTCCCTAGCCGGGCTCCGTACGGTTACGCTGACTGTGCTCTGGGGCATCAGCTCGACGTCGTTTGAGCTCCGGGAGCTACGGTCGTCGTCGCCTCCACCCATGGTCCGGAGGCCGATGCCGTACTTGGACTCCTCCCGGAAGTTTGGTTTGGCGTTGGCTTCGGGAAGCTTAGACCAGTCCTTCGAGCCGTCTCTAGCGTGGGAGGCATTTCCGGATCGTCCACCACCAATGGTCATGCCTGCTGATCTTCCGGTTGACTTCTTGTTGGAGGAGGACGGAGCGTATTTGTCCAGACCACTTCGTTGAGCGGAGTCGAGGAGGCTCTTCCATAGCACACGTACGATGGGCCCCTGCAATACAAGTTAGCCACAGTGTCATCAGTATCGCTGAGATCAAACCTACGAGAGTCGGCAAGCAGGCGGACACGATGCCACTGCTAATCTCGATGATGTTCCAGGCCAGACCTTGGGCCAATGAGTCTATCATCACCATGTTAGCGCGAGCACATTCGGAGACTTTTTCCAGGTCAGGCTTACAAGGAACATCGTTCTTCGTGTACAGCAAGAAAATTCTGAAGCGGTAAACACTACAGAACACAACATAGCTTCCAAGCAAGAAGGTGAAGAGAACCAAGATTCGTTGAGCCTTGTTCATTTGTAGTTTCAAAACGTGGGGAATCGGAAGATAGAGAATCGCAATGTCGACAATGATGCTCGGAACGGCGATAGCAAGTTGTGTTAAGAACAGGTTGATGCAAGTACCTGGCTTCCACGGTTCCCAAAGGGTGTTCAGGGGTAGACACTGGATGGAGGCGGCGACGACGCAGGCAAGCGTCCAAAGCGATGTCAAGCTGCCGCATATCCATGCTCCCTTGCGTACTTCTCGCGTTGGAAAAATTCGCAGGTATAGCAACAGTAGTGCTACTTTGTACACATTGACCCCGTTGATGTACAGAATCTCGGCACCGATCATGGTCTGCAGAGGTGATGTTAGCTTAGTCCTCACGACCAGGGAGTTTGATGAGTACTTGGGAACGTTAATGCGTACCTTGTCGAGAAACTGCAGCTGTTCTAATGTAAGACGGCCTGAATGTAGTCCAATACCAGCATCAACCACTTGATGTAACTGTCAGCAAGGCTTCGTATCCATGGCTTTCAATGACACTTACAGATCAGGTTCATGACCATGTTCCCAATCAACAACACCAGAGCAAACAGCATCGTGTAATCATCTTTCAGGTACCTCGCACCCTGAAGGTGACGAGCCGTAAACCTCAAGCCAACCACAAATGCAGCAAAGACGGTAAAGGCGATGGTAATCCCTCGGACGTATGGACGGAGATCCTCAGAGAGGTTTTGATCTTCAGCGAAGTCGGCCAGCTTCTTCAGATAGTCTCTCTGGGGTTGATCGATAGTCGGATCGTCGTACGGGTATGTCACCATAGTGGCTGCCATGACTGGTGGCTTGATGGCCACACGGGCTCTCGTTGAACAGCGGTCTGTAGGAAACGGGTCGTCGTCGATGGTGAGTGGAGGGGGTTACCGAGTAAACGGACGCAAGGGGGGGCGATTACACCGGCCGCACCACGTGGGGATGGGGAATCATTTTATTGTGAACAACCTTCAAGGAAACGCCAGATGCCTTCCTTGCCGCGGGATTTGCTTACACAAAAATACAACAAGAGAAAAAAGCAAAGACACGTGCGACGGCCCCATCATCGTCTATCACGGCCGCGGGTTTCGGACTCTTGGACCCATTCGTTTTGCCCGAACCACTGTTGCATTCCCAAACTGTCAATCACTTCTGTTTTGACATGTCATGTTTGATAAGTCAATCTGCCCCCATTGCAACTGCTACCTCGGATAGGGTGCCAGAGAGAGACAATGTGTGGAATTGCAACCGAAAGAAGTCAAGAAAAGGGGAGCGAGCCCCCCGGCCAAGTCCCGAGGAGTTGTCGGGTTTGTCAATCTTTGTCAATTTCGAGGAGGAAACCCATGAGGGTTGTCCAGACATCTGTGGACTCTGGACAGGGTGGGATGTCGTAAGGAGGCTAGGAGTATAATCTGTTTTAGTCTAGTCTCGTCTTTCTTCTTCCTCCGTCTTAAGCCCACACAAGCCAGCCCGCATCACGCTACTAACACTAGGAAGAGTTGTTGCCAACGTCCGATAGACTCGGATTAGGAAGAATGCTTCCGGCGCACGGCTCTCGTTCTGGGGTCTCGCACCCAAACTCGAAAACCCGTTGGAACTGATCCAGCGCTAGTCGACTAGTTCGAGGGGGATCCCCTCTTCCAGACCCGCCTCTAGCAACTAGGGCCCGCCTGCCATGCCCCTTGACGTCCGGGCACATCCATGCAGGCACAGGGTTAGCATTGACAGATCATCGCCAAAACCACGGCAATTGGCCTCTGCGCAGGTACCGGAAGAGCGCTGTTGAAGACGCGGATGGGGGCCGCTTTGAGTCAGCAACCCTGTAATCTGTAGTGTACTCGATTTCTCACGGTGGACCACGATTCCTTCCTGTGCGTCATTATCAACAAATACCCAGTGGAATATTGACACGAAGGATTGCTTTTCTTTGGGTATGAGGGGCAGGCTGAAAACGTCGGGAGATATAATACGAAGCCTGCCTCGAGCCCCCGAGTCCTCGACTGCCGAGGTAACATGGAGAAGATGATTGCAAAAGGCCTCGGAGACTAAGGCAAACTACTTAGCGAGATGCTTGAACGTCAAAAGAAATGCTGAACAATGCAGAACGACGGCGCAGCACATGCTACACAAAGAACAAATCCTGCCACAAGCATTCTTCAAGCTGTAAGGTACCGAGCCCCTCTCGTCCTTTCGACTCCGCTCGATCGGACGGGGTTTTCACTTGCGCCATAACCTGTTCCGTCATGACCCCCTCGAGTTGCCCCCTCTTCGACCCCTTTTCACGACTGGAGTAACCCACCGCCAATGTTGGGCCGTTTGCGGATAACTTCGGAGGACCGCGTAAACCTCCCTAGCGGACCTCAAGAACTGAAGACCTCGTGGCAATATCCGACGGTCTACCCGGTGCCCATCCCGCTGTCACGCGTCGTTCATCGCTTTCGGCCGCCGTCATTTCGGGGATATTGCTTGCTGAGGATGTATATTCATGCCTTGATATCTATAGCAGATACGGAGTAGTACTTTAGAAAGGCCATCTGCGCCTCTGTTCATCATTTGCCTCTCTTGCTGTTGCTACCAGGCAGGCTACACATTCCTTTTTAGAGTCCACCTCGATCAAAGCCCACACGCATCCCTCACCCATCTCTGCCCATATCCTCATCTCGTCAATCTCTGACAGATCCAAGATCGCACCTCTCGTGGTTCTCCAGTTGTCACATCACATTCCCAACACAAGATGAAGCCCTCAGTTCTTATTGTCCCCGGCGCTTGGCAGCTGCCTTCGGCCTTCCAGCCCTTCGCTACCGAATTGGCCGGCTCCGACTTCAACGCCTCCATCGTGGCTCTCCCCACCGTCGGTGGTACCACCACGCCCCTGGCGACCCTCTCCGATGATGTTGCCGCCGTGCGTACCGAGCTGGATAAGCTTGTTGCCGATGGTAAGGATATTGTCATCTACTCCCACTCCTACGGTGGTGTTGTTGCCAGCAACGCTGTGGAGGGCTACGACATTGCCACTCGCTCCGCTGCTGGTGCTTCTGGCGGTGTTGTAAGCATCGTCTACGCCAGTGCCTTCGTGCTTCCCAAGGGCTCCAGCTTGCTCGACCTTCTCGGAGGCGAGCCTCTCCCTTGGATGATTGTCGAGGTATGTAACCTAGCCACCAATTTCTGTCGGTTACGAAGCGGCAGTGATACTAACATGCAATATAGGGGGACCGTGTTGTCGGCAACGCCACTCTGCTCCCCGAGGTTGGCTTCAACGACCTTCCCGCCTCTGAGCAAGAGAAGTGGGCGTCCGAGATGACCTGGACCGCTCTCGGCGCCTTCACCAACGCCTCCGGCTATGAGCCCTGGAGCAACGGCATCGACTGCGCCTACCTCTATGCCACTCTTGACAACGCCCTGCCTCTCAGCTACCAGCAGGGCATGTCCGCCGTCCTGCCCGCCGGCTCCAAGACGGAGACCGAGCCTAGCGGTCACTGTGCTCACCTTAGCCGGCCGGCAAATGTGACTTCTATCCTCAGCAGATGGTACCCGGGCAACTAAGCTAAGTGCCGCGGCGCGTCGAGGTGTGAAACGGAGAGTTTTTTTGGGTTTCGTGATAGCGGCGTGGCGGCGTGCGGAAAGCGCAGATCTAAATGAGCCAAGTAATACGAATAATACCTCCAAAGAATTGATGTAACGCTGTCAAGTCCCTCCAGTGGGCCTGTTTTATTTGCGACGTGACTTCGACAGCGGGCACAGTGTTGCCTGCCCCGTGCTTGGATGGAGCGGCAGTCTCGAAGAGACTTGGCGAACTGGCGAGTCACTAATCTAGCTGGCCACGTTGAAGCAAGGGAATGCCAGCTTCTTTTATAACGGCCCGAAAGTCCTATCGTGCCACCATGAACCGTTCGTATCCCCAGATCGTTCGCGAATGAATCGTGGTCATCTCTGTTGGTGGCCTTCTCCACATGACGCCTGTCAACCTGTCAGGGGATAAACATCTGAAATAATGGCTTTCGTCTGGTTTGGGTGGAATCCAGGAAGAGCAACAAGCCATGCCCATGCTAGGGTTGCTCTGAGAGCAGATTTTCTCACCTATTAAACCCCGAACCCCACAAGGATCCTTGAACGTTTGACGGTTGACCTGAAAGGCGGGACCTCTTCGATGAACGATCGAACAGCGTGCTCTGCTCCCTGGCGGCGGATGTCTCTAAGAAAAATAAGAACTCCTCCATCCGGCGCGAGTGTAGAAATTAATATTTGCTATACAGTTTTGGCTGCAGCGGCGGAAGTTGGAACGGATGCGTCTACTGAGGTTTATTTCCATGTTAGTCAGTAATACCGGGAATCCCCTGTCTCTTCGAACACTGGAAGAAAGCAGACATACGAATGGAGTTGTAAGCTTCGTCTTTGAAGATCTAATGCAAGGCTTTCCTCTTGTAATCAAGCTGCCAAGCAAAAGGAGTGTTACATATGAACGGAATTCCCTTATCTCTACACTTTCAGGACCATGTCCCTGTCCTCGAATCCTTTACCTAGCTCTCGGGGCCCCGACCCACTGTCAAGAACAGCAGAGGAGATTCGTAGCGCAACAAGTCTCCTACGCGTTACGATGTTAGCCCCAAGATTCTTTACGTCAGAAGCCGCAATTGCCTTCTTCGGTTGACTTTCTTGGGGACGGCCTGGATCTCGAATCAGTTTGGTCCGGTGTTACCACCCTGGGTATCCGCAGCCTGCGACCTGATCCGTGTCGAGAACGGATCTCAGGGGCGGGCTCAGTGCAGGCAAGTTCCCTCATCCAAAGGAGAAGGTCGGCGGTCTCCACATAAGTATCCATACTTAGGTAGTCTCTCTTAATGGGGTCCGCTGAAGAATAGAATGTCGAAACGAGATGATATGTAACCATGACTCTAATGCCGAGGTAGTTGGCAAGCGAGGTACTCCAT